CGAACTACCTAAATGCATCTGTGTTTGCGCAAATCATTTGTGATCCAGCCTCACATACAGAAGAAGTGAGTATAAGTTTTTTTTAAGAATCTTTGCAGATTGCCTTTCCTAATAATGTTCTAGTTAGCAAGTTCTGTGGCTAAAGTTTACAGTCTCATGAGAACAGCTCGTCACCCCATGGAAGAGAGGGGCAGGGTGGGCAGAGCTCATTTGCATTTAAAGGAACATGCACTGAAACGGATTGCTGTGAACAGAGCTGTTTTTGACAAGGTAAAAAGGGTGTTGTGTTACACTACCATTGAGAAATTTTAAATTGAAAGTTAAAGTGAAGTGAAGTGTGGCCAAGTGTAGTGACCCATGCTTGGAATTTTTGCTCTGTATTTAACCCATCCAAGTGGACACACACAGTAGTGAACACGCGCACACACCATGAACACACACCCGGAGCATTGGGCAGCCATATTGCTGTGGCACCCGGGGAGCAGCAATGCCTCCTTAGTCGTGGTATTGAGGGTTGAAGAGAGTGCTGGTTATTCACTACCCCCACCTACAATCCCTGCCGGACCTGGGACTCAACCCTGTAACCTTCGGGGTTACAAGTCAGACTCTCTAACCATTAGGCCACGACTGCCCCCCCTCCAGTCGTAACATGACACGTAACATACACCTTTAAGACCTTCATTCATCTTCGGAACACAAATTAAGATATTTTTGATGAAATCCAACAGCTTTTTGACCCTCCATAGACAGCAACGCCACTGACATGTTCAAGGCCCAGAAACATAGTAAGGACATCAATAAAATAGTCCATGTGACATCAGTCATGAGACCTACATTATAGAAGATCCTTCAAGCTGTGGCTCGAACAGCTATTTTGTTCTGTACTCTGCCAGGCAGGTCATATGCAATTTGGATTACTCATGTATTTATGAAATAGCAAGTCCTCTGAACTGTCTTAAATCCATCTGGATTCACGTAAAATATTTTATATGATTGTGGATTTACAAGAAAAGAGAAAACTCACGTTGATGGAATACATCCACATCACTCCGCAGAGTTTGTTAATGTCATTTCGACAGAAGCACACCAGAGCAGTCCAGCGCCTGAGGCTGCTCATATCCCTGAGTTTCCTTTACTGAGTAATATCATTGAGGCTGCTCTACTCTGTGAGATTCCTGCATTGGCCATGTACCTGAGGACCTTGTTCAAGTTTCCTGTTTGAAAAATTTTTCCCGATTCTCCTGTTACTGAGACCATTACTGAGTTTCATATTTTTTCAGGCATCTTAAGTTAAGTTCCTTATGTTTCCTCACTTCAACACCCTACTGAGTCTCCAGCCTTCAAAGTCGTCAAGACTTGGGTCTCCAGCCTGTGACACACAATTTCAAGCTCCACAGTCACGACCTAAATCAACAATGTTTGGCTTTAATCCCATTACACTATTTTGGGATTGAAGGTTACAGAGTTGAAGGGCAGTGCAAAATGACCTTAAAAGGATAGTTCATTCCACATTTTTGTCATTGTTTACCCACTTTCATGTTGTTCCAGATGTGTACACTCGTATTTTAACTGTGTAACATGAAAGTAGAAATTAGAACCAAGTGCTCTACAAAAAATGCTGGGTTAAAAACAATTTTGGCAACCCAACGATGAGTCAAAAAGGGATGAACTCAGCACTGGGTTGTACTGACCCAGCTGCATTGGGTTAAATATTTGACCCTGCACACTAGCTCTTTTTTTTTAAATCAATTTTTGTTTAAAATATATTACACTTCTGGGTTCATATAAAAAAAAGTTGGAAATTAAAGTCACTTTAACACACTCTACAGTAACAGCAAAGGAATTAAAATGTATTGATAAGCAAGAGCACCCAGAAATTAGCAGAAATATAGACATACTGTAAGTAAAAACAATGTGCACAAAAGTGCAGAGATGAATGGCAAATCAACAGTTATACAGCTCATACAGTTAAATGAAATTGCCTTTTAAACATTACATTGAACACTGTTGAAGAAAAATTGTACTTATGTTTAAGACCAAATTTGACCAGTTATTTCATTTATTTATTTTTTCTTACGTCAATGGAAAAACTATAAAAAGCCTTTTTTACCTTTTCCTTTTAAATAATGTTTTGTCACTTTTCTCAAGTGCCATTACGGCTCACCGCTCAAGTGATTGGACTGGTTTGAGAGAAAACACTCCCATTTAAAAAGAACACGCTTCTCGCTGCAGGCATTTTAAAAGTTCTCTCTCCTCTCAGCTTTGATTTCTTTTCTTATTTTCCACACATATTCCTGTCGTGAGCACCACGAACATGAATAGGCAAAGCAGTATCGGCATACTCGCAACCCACCACTATTGGGTTGGTGATTATAAATGATAATCAACCCAAATTGGGTCAAGTCAACAGCTTCTTTACCCAAAAATCTCAACTATTCCTTGGTTTGTTTTTTAGAGTGTAGTCAATTTCTTTGTTTGACAGCTGGTCCTATTGCACTACTCTGAGGAATTCAAACCAGCATGGGAGCCCTTTTGTGGACAGAGCTGGTTTACCTGTGCAACTCTTAGCAGCTGGTCACAGTCACACTCACTCCCATCCAGGACATGGCACCAATGCGGGTCACTGCACCAATGTAACTGGTCCTACTCACACTACTCCGAGCAGGATCAAAACCAATGTCAACCAGCATTGGAGGCAGGTTTACTAACAAGTACTTTAAAGACCACATCGTCTAGTGTCAGTTCCTAGTGTGCCTCTTGAGGACAGGGGAGTGAGGTTTACTTGTGCAGCTCTTACTAACTGGCCTCGGTAACACTCACTCCCACCCGGGTCATGGCACCAATACAGGTCACGGCACCAGTCCAGGTCACAGCACCAATGTCTAACAAATTACTAATTATAGGATACTCCATAAATTCAATATATGGCTCCAGAGAATGACCAATATATGACAAAATATGTTCTTTCTTGTGAATCATTTTCGTAAGAATAACAGTAATGTGTAATTGTATTGCATTCACAACAGTTGTTCAGCACATTAAGAGGCACAACATTGTACTGAAGAGGGAACTTGGAGAAGGAGCGTTTGGGAAAGTGTTTCTGGCCGAATGCTACAACCTGTCCACAGACCAGGAGAAGATCTTAGTGGCTGTCAAGGTTGGCTGTTGAATTTAGTGTTGATGTTGGCATACTAAACTTTAGGTTGTCAGTATACTCAGTGTATTTGTACACATTTTGTGTTTTTAGACTTTGAAAGAGGCCAGTGAGAATGCCAGGAAGGACTTCCATCGTGAGGCCGAGTTGTTGACCAATCTGCAGCATGAACACATCGTCACATTCTACGGCATGTGTGTGGAGAGCGATCCCCTTATCATGGTGTTTGAGTACATGAAACACGGCGACCTCAACAAGTTCCTTAGGTACAGTTGCCTGAACTTGTCTGTGTGTATGTTTGTATTGGAATCCAATAGTGCTTAGTCACATCTTTTCTATAATTGCTTTGTCCTTGTAAGTCAATAATTACACATAATTTTTCATATATAAAAATCTAATACAAAGGAAATCAGCCAGTCAAAGCATAGGAATTTCATTCCTGCTAGTTCAGCAAGTTTGAACTTGTAATTGGTAAACACATTCTCTCTGAAACTGATCTACCAGGGTGCTTATGGCCAGTCTCTTACTCGAAGATGAATGTTCGTGAATTGTGGTCTGGTTGAGGTCATTACTTTTTGTCTGTCCACCCGCAGGGCTCATGGTCCTGATGCAGTCCTGATGGCTGATGGACAGGTGCTGCAGCAGGCAGAGCTCACTCAGTCTCAGATGCTGCATATTGCACAGCAGATCGCCGCAGGCATGGTGTATCTGGCTTCCCAGCACTTTGTTCACAGAGACCTGGCCACACGAAACTGCCTAGTCGGGGAGAATCTCCTGGTGAAGATCGGAGACTTTGGGATGTCCCGAGACGTCTACAGTACAGATTACTATCGGGTAAGATTTGCTTTCTAGTTTGACTGTGTTTTTGACCCCAAAATGTTTTTGGATTCTTAAAATTACACTTGATAAATATAAATTCAAATTCCATTTATTTTTACATTATTATGTTATTGTTTAACTATTTTTTAGCAGCCATTACTCATATCACTCCAGTCATTCTTCAGAAATGAATGTAAAATGTGGGTATACTGTATATATATATATATCAGTATTAGGAAGCCTTTCGCTGCCCACAGATTCAGATTTATTAATCCATTCTGTTACAGTTTCATTAGTCGGAAATTAATGCTGACTTCACAAGGACACTTAAAGGCGGTATTCAAGTCCTTTTCCCAGTATATGTATAAATCAATATGCTTCTCATGTTCTTTGCTAGACAATGTCTACTGATAACTAAATACCAGCTATTCAAACACCTTCACCCTACCGGTTTTGTTCCTGTATGATGTCAGCAGAATCTCTCTCTCTCTCTCTCTCTCTCTCTCTCTCTCTCTCTGTGTGTGTGTGTCCTGATTCCCTACCGTCAGTAAGTCTCTCCCAGATTAGGAGTCAGGGAGGAAAGTGGTGTGGGAACAGGAAAGAGGGGTTACTATGGCAACAGCAAAGAAAAAGAATAGAGCGCTTGCGCTGTCAGACAGAAACTGAAAAAGTCATTAAAGATCTCTCATTAGTATTCACCCCCATATTCAGCATGAAGGCCTACCGAGAAGGAGAGGGGCCTAAGTTAGGGATAAAAAGTAAAAAAAACAAAAACGAAAGATACAGAAATATAATGTCTAAAGAGAATAAAATCAAGAAACCAAACCATGCACTTTGGAATATAAAGCATTTGAAGAGAGACTGAAAACTTAATTTATTCTTTGATAGCATGATGTTCTTTTATTGTGTTTCATTCATGCATTCAGCATGAATCATCTATCCAGTGACTGAATATGGGTTGAATGATGTTTATAAATGCAGAGATGTGCGATTAGATAACTCGCTTCAGCAAAGTTCATTTGAGTTCATTTATCTCTGAATACTGATGAATATCATGACACATCTCCATTATATGAGCCTCCATTGAGATTCAAATGCAGGTCAGTGCATTTGTGTTTGTGTGTGCTTGCGCATATGTGTGTGTGCGTGTGTGCACACTATGTGTACGCCATTGACTAGGCCTATAGAACATCAGTTTCCATAGAAACAGCTGGTCAGGCAGAGGCTGATGGGTGGAATTCTGTTGTGAAAGCATGTTGTATAACCACAGAACTTCTTATGAAGCCACATTAGTGCATTATAACCCATATTCAGAACTTCGTAAAACATAGTTGATGATCCTCATAAAGTCTTTTCCACCTATGTCGTCCTTCTTTGGTTGCATATACTGTAATATGGTCACACTTTAGTTTGGGGACCAGTTCTCACTATTAACTCTATTAACTACGACTTTTACTTTAATAAAGTCCAAATCTGCTGCTTATTATAATAGTTAGTAAGGTAGTCGTTAAGTTTAAAATTGGGGTAGGATTCAGGGATCTAAAATATGGTAATGCAGAATAAGACATTATTATGCAGAGCTGGGTAGATTACTTACAAATACTGATTCCAAATTACATGACAAAAATTGTAGTTAATAACGTAATCCATTACATTACACATTTCAGGTAATATAATCAGACTGCTTTTTGATTAGTTTTAGATTACTTTTAAAAGATGGAAAAAGAAGAATTAGGGAGAATTTAAAGACAAATTATAAATATTGTGTTGATAATATGTAATCGTGAAATCAATAAAAGAGTAACTGTAGTCTGAATACGAGTATTTTAAAATGTAATTTTATCTAATCTCAAATACTTCATTTTTGGAATCTCATTATGTAATCCAGATTACATATAATCAGTTACTACCCAGCTCTGTTAATATGTGCTTTATAAGTACTAATAAACATCCAGTATGCTAGTAATATGTATGCGAATAAGCAACTAGTTAATAGTGAGAATTGGTCCTAAAGTGTTACCAATTCTTTGAGACTCGATATGTTGATCTTTTAATTTTAGCATGAAATCAGAATTAACCCGGTTTGCTTTCTTAATACGCATTCTTGGTCATATTGTGCCACATTTATCACTACACATTATTCCATTATTTAAGGAAAAACATGTATTTCTAATCTTTCATCCAAATGTTAATTTACTCCAATCTTCTTATGAACCAATCAGTTCAGCTTTTCATGTTGACTTTAGTAACGTGTTATATGATGATAATCATTCAGCTCTATTCTCCTGTACTTAATAATGTACATACATACATACTCTTTAAAAGGCTGTTAAAACCAAACCTACAGCCTTGAACTGGCCTGCAACAATATCCGGCTTTGCCAGTAATTGTCCACCTAAAACCAGTTAAGAGAAATTTAAACTGGTGCAAACTGGTCTGAGCTTTTTAGCAGGATGTTGTTGTGTGGATGAGCGTGTGTGTGTGTTCGATTGCAGGGGAAAAAGGTTTCTAATAGCACTTGTGCGATAGACCATTTTTTTAAGTGACCCTTCCAGTCTGTAGCTCCACTATGGGACCAGTGAAAAGCCTAAAAGCTTTTGACCTTAATATTTGATGAGTCCAGTATGTTAAACCTATTAATCTGAGACTAATCCACATGCTGGACCACAATCTCATAATTAATATTTCAGAGGCAGCGCATTATGGAGAAAGCTAATAAATGAAATGATTGGTTTTGGGGTTGAGCTCTAGGCCAGACCAACTCCCCAAGCTTACAGCATCAAAATCCTGAGAGGCGCAACTTACGGCACCATCTGAGGTCCTGAACTGGAAATACTGTCAGCATTTGTCTGAGAGCTTTTTGGACTGAACAATGCTCCAATTGCAACAAACTGTTGACTGTCTACTCTTGCTCTAAAAGTCTGTATGGATCTTATCCCTTAGCACCTGTCAGATGCAGGGAGTTTTGTTAGAGTAGCTTGGTTTTATGTGTCTTCTGTTTTGTCGATTTGAGCACACCTGGACATTTTAATGTCAAACTGCAGTTTAACATATACAGTATTCAGTGTCGTTTGTTTTTATAATTAATTACATTGTTTGGCCATTTATTGATTAGACAGATTCAAACTCACGTCACCTTCATCAGCATCATAACTTAATATGTTGGATGACTCAATGTGCACTTACTGTTTTACATGTATAGGTTGGAGGGCATACCATGCTGCCAATCCGCTGGATGCCACCAGAAAGTATCATGTACAGGAAGTTCACAACGGAGAGTGATGTCTGGAGTTTAGGAGTGGTGCTGTGGGAGATCTTTACCTACGGGAAACAGCCCTGGTATCAGCTGTCAAATAATGAGGTACTGACACATAATAACATCTTCACACCAACGCCTTTTTTGGGAGGAAGCCACCTCTGCATCACATTTATTATTTTTTAAATTCATGAGCCAATAAGTTTGATCTGACTACTAAATTTGATTCACTCTGCAGAGTTCAGCTCCAACACTAATCAAACTGGGGCCAGTTGCATAAACACAGCCACTATGGAAAGACTCTGTCTTAAGAAGTCATTCGACCAGCTAGCAGTTAGCCAAGGGGTAATCAGTCTTACTTTTCAGATTCAGATTAGACCAATATACATTTCTGTAACTGAAATTAAAGTTATGACCAGTCTTTAAGAAAGCAAAAAGACTAACTTTTTAAGACTAGTCTAAGCAGTTTATGCAACTGGCCCCTGAACCAGCTAATCAATGTCTCCAGGATCACTTGAAAATCGCAGGCAGGTCTGTTGGAGCAGGTTGGAACTGAAGTCTGCAGAAAGGTAGACTTCCAGGAAAAAGGTTGTCTACCCCTGCCCTAGGGACCAAACACAACACCCAAACAAACAACTTGAACACATTAGCAACCATACAGGACACCAGAGCAACCACACAGAATACATTAACAACTAACTAGGAGACCCTTGAGCAAGGTTTTCCAACCCTGTTCCTAAAGTACAACAGTACACGATTTTGAACTCTTCCTAAAGGCTGGTGTCCACAGAATAGCATAAGATTCATAGATAATTGGCCAATTTCTTGGGATAGACCTAACCCGCTAAAGAGAGACCATCCCTCCAGGAAGGGTGCTACTTGTCTTTCTAGAAAACTGGCGTATTGTCTTTGAAGAGTTTGTGTTTGACTAACTGGGGCCCACATCAGGAAGCAGACAGACTGCCTTGAGTTGCCACATTGCTCATATAAATGACAATATTATCCTATAAATGTGCCCCTAGGAACAGGTTTAGGAAGCCATGCCCTCTAGACCATCCTGAACACCCTACACTCTCAAAAATATAGGTACAAAAACTGTCACTGTGTGGTATCTTTTCAAACGGTACATATTTTTGTACCTAAAGGGTTGGTACTTTAAATGCACATATTGCACACCTAAAGTGTACATATTAGTAGTACCTAAAGGGTACAAAACTGTACCTTTTGAAAAGGTACTACCCCAGTGATAGCTTTTTTTCTGAGAATGTAGCAACCACATAGAACACATTAGCAACCAACAAGAAGATGCCAGAAACCACCCAGAACGCCCTATGACAGGGGTGACCAGACATACTTCTGGAGGACCACTATCCTGGAGTTTAGCTCCAACTCCAGTTAAACACATCTGAACCAGCTATTGGAGGTCCACGGAATTACTAGACACTTCCGGGCAGATGTATTGGGGCAAGTTGGAGCTAAACTCTATAGGACTCTACACCTCTGCTCTGGGACCACAACACCATAACAACCAGAAGAACCTTAGAAGCCACTTAGAACACCTAAGCAGCCACTTAACAAGTCCTACATCCATTCAAATCTCAGATTTCTCATCAAATACTGATGAGAAGTACAAATACAAATCCTGATCCTGGATTTCAGTTCCATCCAGCTCCAACTCCTTGTCTGGAAGTTGCTAGTAAATCTGATGACCTTGATTAGCTGGTTCAGGTGTTTTTGATTAGGTATGAAGCTAAACTCTGCAAGACAGTGGTACTGCAGGAACTATATACACTATAAAACTTCAAACTGATTGAACTTTGTCACACTTTGCCTCTTGGTTTGTCTTTATAAACAATCCTTTTCTACTTTTATAGCAGTTTGCCTCACACATTTCTGGACATTTATTTTGTTTGACCTTTCACTTCTTACTCTTTTGTAGGTGATTGAGTGTATCACCCAAGGTCGTGTCCTGCAGCGACCCCGGACCTGTCTAAAGGAGGTGTATGACTTGATGCTGGGATGCTGGCTGAGAGAACCACACACCCGACTCAACATTAAAGAGATCCATAACCTGCTCCTCAACCTGGCCAAGGCATCACCGGTGTATCTGGACATCCTGGGTTAAGAGAGCTCGTACCACGTGTGGGACTGCGAGTGGATTCCTGAAACTGCCCCCTCCTCTATCCCACCCAAAATCTCTTTCTTCTACAGCTTTAACATCTACTTCCTTGTCCACCTCCTCGTCAACTGCACCTCTTCCAAATATTAAATGTAAATGGGATCTTGTCCATGTACAATAACTACGAATGATATATTTCTAAACAAAAATGGATTGAATGGAAAGAGCCACATTGAAGTGACTATAGCTTAAGTTACCAAGAACCAAATTTTCAACCATCTTCAACATCTGGAGCAAGTTCACACCTATAAATTCCAGTTTGGGAAAAAGGCATTCTGGACTTGAGGAATAACAACAAAGGAATAATCCTTGAGGAATAATCCTCTTAACAACAAAGAGGAAACAGCAGCTCCATAAGCAATGACCATTTACAAATAAACAACTTTTCTGCCCATCAGATGGATTTGGTCTTGTTGGCTCCCACCTGTTTCATTCTAAATCCGATACAAAGCACAGAACCTGAAATTAGCATGGTGATCAACAGTGAGAAACTGCGACTATATCTATACGTATTCATGCGTGTTTATAGAACTGGACGTTACTAATGTAGTTTCACGGTTGAGCGACTCTAATTATAAGCTTCTGGATGCTGACAGGATGTTGTTGCTGCCGAACTCATCTGAAATGGAGAAGTAACTCACTAAAATGTGTCTGGATCATAGGCGTTATTTATAGTGGGACACGTCCCCACCACTTTTGCCATGGCCAATTTTGTCCCTCCATTTCCACCAATTTTGTCCCACCACTTTATGAAATGGCTTGCAGCAGCGTCATGACAAGTGCAGTGGACTCCAATTGTCAAGCAAGGGTTTGCGATCTGGTGATTTAATTAGTCATGATGTATGATTTTTGGACATTTCTACACATAATGTCACATTTGACTTTTGACTTGAGCAGATACTCTACTACTGACCTGATTTCCATATCAATGCTTAATTTTTATAAGATCATATTCAATTATTTGTGCATAACCTTATTAATATTCATAAGCTAAGCCTTCACCATTTTGTGACGTCACAACCAGCATGTCTGTTTTCTGCACCTGTGTCCACCACAGAATCGACACCTATAGCCTCCAGGTTGTTGACGCCGTTCACTATTGAGGGCTAGATGGAATAATTTGAGACGATGCTGTGCCTCAGTACCATCAGCTTGCATTTCTTACAGGAGCTTAATTACGCAGAGTGGCCGATTATGATGGTGCGGGCTAAATTACGACCTTTCTTTCTCTCTTTCTCGTTCGCCATGTTTTACTACTGAGTGGACGCACTAATGCAGTACTCAAGCTTCGGGTTGTACAACTGCTATAGTGTAATATATATTTCATTACAGGACAAATGTCTCCTATTAGCAGCAACTCCCTCTAGACTCATATGCACTATCAGTGGGGAAAAGAGGAGAGACAGGAGGGGACAGGATGGAGAGAATGAGACGAGGGGAGGAAAATAATGTTAAACAGAGATAAACATGAGTCACCTCACTTAAAACCCACATTTCTCCTTCCTTTTATTGTACATAAATGATTATATGTATTTATCACTATAGAGATCCTATCCCAGCATCCTTTTTGTTTGCGTTCATTATTGCACCGTCAGTCCCTTCTCCCATGGGAGACTTTGCACACTAGACTCAATGCCGTGAATTTGACAACAAACACCTTCCAATCAATTCAGAGTTTTAAGCGTAAAGTCCCAAAAAGAATTTAAGTTTGGAGTTAATTCATTAATTAATTTATTTATTTTTCGGAATAAGAATTGTAATCTTTAAGATTTGTAACTTATAGTTTAATATTTTATTTATTTTGTACTTAATGTGAAGCATTTTTGTTTTGACTTTTGCCTGTAAAGGATTTTATTTAAAAATTATTATTCTTAATATTATATTTTTTCATACTTGGTTGGGAGGGAATATAGAGGTGGTTTCTGGGTTTATGGAATGGGGAAAATAAAAAGACAGAAAGATTGCATACTTTGGATGAACAATGAGAAAACTCCAGGTTAGATGTTCAGGTTACATTCACAAAAAAGAAGTGAAAATTCTGAATTGTGGCCATTTTTCATGATCATTAAGAACATTTTCTCCACAAATTCTCTTTGACAATGTATTTTCCTTTTTTTGTGCAATTTCCATTATTCTCAATGGTAATTCTCATTACTGTAATACAGTCATTTTTACTGTAGAACAACGTTTTTATTTAAATTTGCATAATTTAATTTGCACAATATTTGACCATTTTGTCATTACAGGGATAGCTAGGATTTTAGTTATGTTGTATATATGGCAGTGGGGTAAAATGTGCTTAATTGTCATGAAAATAATGCAAAAATGAAATTCCTTTGTTTTTCAATGTTTTCATCATGAAACAGAGGGAAAATGTTGTTTGAGATACAAATATGAGTTTCAGTGTTTCAGATGAGTCTTGCCTTACACAAAAATCTCTGATTGTCCTGCAACAGAACAATAAACTGTGACTGCATATCAAACACCTTCCTCTACATGTATACAGAACTTCTTCTGCGGTTTCAGAATGTCTATAAGCTAAACTACCATAAACAAGTATTAAAGTCAACGTGAAAGTAAAACTGACCCTCTTCACTTTCTTAGACTTTGTGCACATTATTACACACATACAAGTCATTGTGTAACTCTGTTGACTTTATGTTGACTTTAAGTCCAAAATTGGGATACTTCCTCGCTTTTCTTAATACGTTTAAACATAGGCCTATTGACACCTGGAAAGAAGATTTCTGCAGAGTATCAAGTAGTGTGATCATTTCATTTATGGAATTATGTTATACGTTCAGCTACGAAAGTACAATCAGATGTCCTCGTCTGTATGCGATATATATGGACCAGTCAAGTTGTCCGCCATTGTATTTAATAAAAGTGTAATGTCTTACCTCATAATGAGTGTGTGTGTGTGTGGAGTGTGTTATTGTGACAGTGAGTTATGCGTATAGATTCATGTTTATAGGTTGGTCAATAGAGGTTCATACAGAGTGCTTTGACAACATGGGCCGAACGTATTGACCTACAGGCACTAAAATGCTTTATTGACAGCCATGTTTTTTTATGTCTTATTGGCTGCCAGCCTGAACATTTACTTCATACAGTAACGTGATGGAGACCAGAGCAAGTTAAAAGCAATTTATGATGAAATGGCACGATCTATAAAGTTTATGTAGCATTAGTGTTGCTGTAGTATCTGAAGCTTCAAGAGAATAAAACAAGAACTTGTTCCAATTCCCATTTCATTGACGTAGGCAGAGGGAGAAAGAAAGGGGGGACTGATCAATCAGCGGATCGATGGCTTGTTTTGACATTGTACATTAAGGCCTAACTAATTGCCAGAGGGCTTCTGCGGTTTCAGAATGTCTATAAGCTAAACTACCATAAACAAGTATTAAAGTCAACGTGAAAGTAAAACTGACCCTCTTCACTTTCTTAGACTTTGTGCACATTATTACACACATACAAGTCATTGTGTAACTCTGTTGACTTTATGTTGACTTTAAGTCCAAAATTGGGATACTTCCTCGCTTTTCTTAATACGTTTAAACATAGGCCTATTGACACCTGGAAAGAAGATTTCTGCAGAGTATCAAGTAGTGTGATCATTTCATTTATGGAATTATGTTATACGTTCAGCTACAAAAGTACAATCAAATGTCCTCGTCTGTATGCGATATATATGGACCAGTCAAGTTGTCCGCCATTGTATTTAATAAAAGTGTAATGTTTTACCTCATAATGAGTGTGTGTGTGTGTGGAGTGTGTTATTGTGACAGTGAGTTATGCGTATAGATTCATGTTTATAGGTTGGTCAATAGAGGTTCATACAGAGTGCTTTGACAACATGGGCCGAACGTATTGACCTACAGGCACTAAAATGCTTTATTGACAGCCATGTTTTTTTATGTCTTATTGGCTGCCAGCCTGAACATTTACTTCATACAGTAACGTGATGGAGACCAGAGCAAGTTAAAAGCAATTTATGATGAAATGGCACGATCTATAAAGTTTATGTAGCATTAGTGTTGCTGTAGTATCTGAAGCTTCAAGAGAATAAAACAAGAACTTGTTCCAATTCCCATTTCATTGACGTAGGCAGAGGGAGAAAGAAAGGGGGGACTGATCAATCAGCGGATCGATGGCTTGTTTTGACATTGTACATTAAGGCCTAACTAATTGCCAGAGGGCTGAATGCTTTTAAAAACACATCCATGGCGCTCAATGCAATCACTTGGATTTTTCAAAGCGTACAGCAGAATTCTCGAAGGACTGAGTGTGTGTGAGTGTGCAAACAAGCGCAGCTCTAAACAAACAAAGATCCTCTGACCTCATCGTTTCAAACCAGTTCCTGCAGTTTTATATACATAGTGTTTGTAGACTTATAATTCTAATAGTAGTATTAAGCCAATTACCATGCAATATTTGTGTTACAAACAGGAATGAGACCTCAAATAGTGTGATCACCTAATATTTTGTAACACCCCTCCTCAACAAACCAATCTAATATTTTGGCCCATAATACATTGACCTACAATAAAAACATTGAATAAATGTATTATGATGGAGGGATCCAAGCCATATGTAGAGACCACAGTTGTGAGTAGACCATTTAAAAAGATAGTCCTCCCAAAAATGAAAATTCAGTCATGATTTACTTACTTTCCTCATGTTGTTCCAAACCTGTATGATTTTGCTTCTTCTGTGGAACACAAAAGAACATTGTTTTTCTTCTCTCTCCCTACAATGAAAGTCAGTGGGATCCAATGTTGTTTCGGACTCCATTTTATAGACAAAAGCAGTTCAAACATTCTTCAAAATGTTTTTTTTTTTCTGTTTGGATGAACTATCCCTTTAACAATACTCTAAAAAAAACGCCCAGAAGCAGTCGTTATTGTTCATTTTTATTAATTGAAATAAAGCTACAAAAAAATTACTATAAATATTAGATGTATATTAGAATGTTGCTTTTGCAACTAACGGAAATAAGCTAAAGTACTAAATTTAGTAAAACTGAAATATTACCCCCTCCCCCCCCAAAAAAAAATCATCTAAAGAAGACAAAAGCACATAACAAAATTACTCAATTTAAATAACTGAAAATATAAAAACTAAAGATAAACTCATTTAAATTATATAAAATGCTACATATTATACTAAAAGAAGCAACCACCATTGTGGCTATCCATTTGCACAGACTCCACTCAAAAAATTATATAAAAAGTATCATGTATGTTATATATCATGTCATATATATCATATATAACACTGAACAGTACCCATAACTTTTAACAAAGGATAATTGTAAGGCTGAGAAAAAAAGAAGAAGGTTTCATTAAAATTTAAAGAGAGGGCCACCTCTTTATGACAGGCCCCTCCTCTTCATTCTAAATGGATAGTTTCCACCTTGCATCCTCAGAGGTATTCGCTTTTAAATGCCACTCCAATACATTATGTGATGCACAACTGTGAGGTTTTGTGGTCTGTTTAAATAGTAAACACAGATCCATCCTGATGTCAGGGCTTTTTTTCTGGGAAAGTAGGGAAGATCATTTGGGATATTAGCATGTGCTGTCTATTCATCAGATTGACCACATTAGCAGCTGCTTAGTGTCAACGTGTAGAGAGAAAACAGTTGCTGACAGCAGGCTTTGGGTGCTCTGGGTCAATGTGTTTTACCACAGTAGTACATCTGTGCTGTGGTACTGTACCATTCTGTCTTTAACTATCAAAGCCGATAGAGCGTGCTTGATTTAAGTTTTATCTTCCAATAGTTTACCTTACTTAGATTTAATCAGTTATCTTTACTTAGTTGCTATACTTACTAGGTTTTATTAAGTTACAGCTACTTTCAAGGCAAATAAAACAATTTACTTACTGTTTTGAGTGACACTTACTTAAAATATTCAAGTAGCCACAAAGGAACCGGTGACATTAATAAAGCAGTGAGAAGCAGCAGTGCACTAATATGTTGCAAATGTGCAACATAACAACAGAAGAAGAAGAAGAAAAGAAAAAGAGTCTTAAAGGGGTGGTTCACTGGTTTTTTTTCTAGGCTTGATTGTGTTTATGGGGTGCAGTCTATCATGTGTTAATGCTTCGTTTTTTAAAAAACTTTATTTTTCACATAATTTACCTTTATTCCACACCGCTCTGTCCCTTCTCTGAGAAAAGTGCTGATCCTTTCCTCCTTTTATGAAGCCCCGCCCTCAGAAATAGGCCATGGGCCATCTGATTGGTTAGCTAGCCCAGTGTGTTGCGATTGGCTAAACCGCCTCTAGTGCGCGTCTAAACGTCCCGCCCCTCACCTCAGCGGCATGTGCTCCATGACAATGGCGTCGTTAATATCACTTATCAGTTTGAGCCCGATTGAGAAGCAGAGGGTATTATTGAAGAGGATCGTGCAGAACCTGTGCAAGCACGGCTTTTAATGGTAGGCCTATGTTTTTTGCTTGTTGTTGTCTTATACTTTTATATATGCTGTTATTTGTAAATGCTACTGCTTATGTTAGCTTTTAATATATAGTTTTATCCTGATTAAAGCATTTAACACAGTACGACAACTGCACGCGCGTCCATGTTTAACACTTCTCATAGCTATGTGAAAATAAGTGTATACTTGGAACAGTTCATTGTTGGAGCTGAGCTGAATGAGAGAGAGAGAGAGAGAGAGAGAGAGAGAGAGAGAGATGCAGAGTGTGTGCAGAGCA